TATATATATATATATATATATATATATATATATATATATATATGTGTGTGTGTGTGTGTGTGTGTGTGTGTGTGTAAATTCCAGTTGAATCCATTACCTTTACTTACGTGCTAATACCCTTTGGAATGGTATTAATCCTCTTCTTCTCCCCCCAGCTATGGGTACACATGAGGACATACTGGGTTTTATAGCCTTGAATGGCATCTGGTCTAGGAGAAGGACAACTCTGAATTCAAAACCTGCGGAGTGTCGTATGGGGACCTTGTGGCACGTAGTGCACCAGCTCTCTGTATTCGACCCTTCAAAAAGTGTGGTTAGTTTTGCAGAAAGCCTTCACCACTATAATCAAATCATATGTGCCGGTGTCTGACTGTAGATTCAAGGAACTGAGCTGCTTAACACTCATACCTTGAATACGCCGGAAGAGTCCACCATCTCTCTCTCTCTCTCTCTCTCTCTATATATATATATATATATATATATATATATATATATATATATATATGTATACAATAAAATCCAAATTTAGCTCATTCGAATAGCTATTTCTACCCACAAGACTCCTTTGTACGAGACATTTTTTTATTCATGTCTCTGAGTTGACAAGTCCTACAAGAAAGTCTTGTGGGTCGAAGAACCTACTTGAATTAGGTACATTTGGATTTTTATTGCTTGTATTTTATATGATCTACAAAAAAATAAATGCATTGTGCTCTTTTTTGCGGATCGGTTTTGATATTTTATATTATCAGGATTCAGTCAGATTATTTACGAACGGATGATTACCTATATATATATATATATATATATATATATATATATATATATATATATATATATAATATATAAGAGGGATTGCTGACAATCCTTATATATATATATATATATATATATATATATATATATATATATATATATACAATATATATATATATATATATATATATATATATATATATATATATATATATATATATATATGTGTGTGTGTGTGTGTGTGTGTGTGTGTGTGTGTGTGTGTGTGTGTGTGTGAAAAGTGTATATAAATATAAATAAATATATATATGTATAATTATTTATATATTATATGCGGTACTTATGAGAAAGCGTTCAATCTCAGAGATAGAGCTAACATATTTGGTTGGATAGATGTGAGTTTGTGACCCTGGGTCTCACGCTTTTAGCGACACGATCGCTAAAAGCGTGAAACCCAGGATCACAAACTCACATCTATCCAACCAAATATATATATATATATATATTGTATTTTGGCAGCAATCCCTCTTTTATACAAGTTTCGTTAAACACGACTGATAAGGTGCTGCGATTACGCATTTTACTTAAGTTTTCTTGTGTTTGTACAAGTGTTGTTCCGAGAGCTTTCAGCTATACTTTTGGCCATTATCAACGATGATTTTATTTGATTTTTTAAGTAAATGCATCGGTTGTGTGAATACATGTGTATTTAAAACAGCCTACCTTATCTCCAACAATAACAACACACTTACAAAATCAAAACTACAAACAATCAACATTATTTACGAGTTGAAATGCTCCTTAAGAAATTGTGTTCCTGATCAAAACCAAACTCAAATAATTACATTGGTCACACTACTATATGCCTATCCAGATGACTTACGTTAAATTTGTCCGATTGCATCTCCGTTAGAACTCATTTAAACACGCACATACACAAACTTGTCAAAATCCATCCGGAACTATATTAGTAGAAAAATAACTTCCTCTACAAGTAAAGAAAAGATAAAAAAAAATAATGGAAATCCTAATAAAAATCAAAAAGCCAACACTCAATAACATTAACTACGAAGACGGCCACAAATGTGCTGACCGTGTTTGGAATATAAATCATCCCTAAATCTCTAGATGCATACACACAACTCATACATTCAGTTAAAAGTAAAAATAAAATCATCCTTGATAATGGCTAAAAGTATAGAATTTTTACAGAAGCTTTCGGCAGTTTTTATGAATTTTGTGCCCGGAATAGAAATCAGTTGTACGAAGACAAGTAAAATTAAATTAAAAGCTTAATCTCTGTACTTTGTCAGTCACCTATAGCGTAACTGATATCTCTATCCATTAAAGGCAGTGAGGATGTGTGTGTGTGTGTGTGTGTGTGTGTGTAACGAATGCACAGGTGCAATTTTCGACGGATTTGCACTAAAATTTATATGCACATGGTCCAAGTTAGCGGGAAGGCCATGACCGACTTTGCATTTCCCAACTCCCATCGATAGTGGAAATAATTGATTTTTTCATGCTTCTACGGCAGTTTTCATGTAGTTTGGAGCTATTTTCTTCTGGCCAGAGTGAGAGCCTATAGCTGGCTGCCACGAATAGGCAGGAAGATTTTATTGGCCAGCGTGAGAGCCAACAGCTGACTGACACGAATGCTAGCATGCAAAAAAAAAATCTATTTAAATCTGCATGGCACTTTACTCCAGTTGGCTCAATCGCTTGCTTAAACTCACCGTTGATTCTGATTCCACTGAACTTGGTTGGGTGTGAAAAAGTATTTGTTGTTAACATTCTTTTTTCATTTGTTTTTTCCAGTTAAGAGTCCTTTTTTAAAGCTGATCGTTTTGTGTTCATTTTGTTTAGTTCTTTTTTCGTAACAGATTTAATGTTTAGTATAGAGCTTAGAAAAAATTCGCAGTGTGAGATAGGCAAAAAGTAAGTCATATAGCAACAACATCACAGCAAAGGGCACTCCTTTAAAGGCAAAGAAGGGCAAAAATATTTTAAACCAAGTAATAGCGATTGCTGTATGAGTCGTACGATTTTTGAATCAAGCACAGGCAACGCCGGGCCATGCTGCTATATATATATATATATATATATATATATATATATATATATATATATATATTTTCTATATATTATATATATGCGCGGTACTTATTGGAAAGCGTTTTATTAGTGAATATTATATATATATATATATATATATATATATATATATATATATATATATATTATAAATTAATTGATTTAATATATGTTTTTTCCGCTACACAGTTCTAACCATGTTTCAAAATGGAAGCTAAAAGCCACGAATTTAATTTTGCAATTAAATTAAAGACATTAGTTCATTTCATCCTCAGCGAATTTTGGAGTAACTTTTAAAATTACTGGTTTTAAATACACGGCTAAAATCACGTTTCGATGGTTACAGATAAATCTATTTCACTTGGACAAGGGTTGTCTGGGTTTTTCCTTATGTCTGTATCATTGTAATTTATAATATTAATGCTCTGTAAATTTACATTGAGTACTATTTTGTAAAAATAAAATATCTATAAGAACACCGGATTATATATCTTACTGTTCTTTCTTTTTATTTAAATATATATATATATATATATATATATATTATATATATATATATATATATATATATATATATATATATATATATATATATATATAATTTCTTTTTTTTTCTTCTTGTTTCTAAATTTCTTCTTTCTTTCTGACTTTCTCTTTCCCTCAATTTTCTCTCTTTAATAATTTCATTTTATATATATTTCTTTCTCAAACGATGTTTTCTCTCTTTCTTCTTTTCTTTGTCCCTTCTTTTTTCTTCTCTTGTCATTTATCTCTCTCTGCATTCTATCTTTAACTCTCTTCTTCTCTTTTTCTTGCCTTATCTCTTACCTCCACTCTTTTCCTGATTACTTTCTTTCTTTATTCCTTTTCATCCCCCTTCCCTCGTTCCTCGTTTACTAACGCTTCCCCTCGCACTCACTTTTACTTTGTCTTTATTTCTTTGTTTCCTTTTTTTTCTTTATTTTTCTTTATTTCTTCCTTTTTCTGACACTGTCACTTTCCTCCTCTCTTTCGAACTCACTCACTTTTCTTATTTCTTTCCATCATTTTTTTTCCTTGTCCCACTTTCACTGAAGCTCTCTCTCTCTCTCTTTTCTCTCTCTGAATTTATTTATATCACACTCATTTTTCTTTCACTCGTTATCATACACTTTCTTTCTCTGTCTGTATATCTATGTTTATCATTGGGCACCTCTAGGCGGTTAGCAAGCTTGTCTCGCTAGAACAATTACCACTGCTTAATGAGTTCGATTTTCACTGGGTGCCTCCCTACTTTCGGCCTTGTGCCACATCTAACGCTTGGAAAACCTTTATCTATATCCTTTTTCCCACTCTTTCTCTATTTTTCTTTGACTCTATTTTACATTTTCTTTCTCTTTTCCTTGCTCTCCTCTCTTCATTTTTCGATTGCCATTCCATTTTCCCCCATTAATTCTTTCTCTGTTTTTCTCTCTCTGACGCTTTTAATTCTCTCTTCTTCTTCTTCTTCTTCTTCTTCTTCTTTATCATTATTTTTCTCTTTCTTACTCAATATTTCTTCCCTTTTTTTCTCACCCTCTTTCGCTCTTCTCTCTTCCTTCTCTTTCTCTTATACTCATTCTTTTTTCTATTTTTTCTGCATTTCCTCTCACACGTTCTTCTATTCAGCTTTCTCTATCTTTCTCTATTTTTCTCTCTCTCTTTATCTTTCTGTCTTGTTCTGTCTTTCTCAGTCTCTTTCCTTCTATTCCCATCTTTCATTTTTCCTAAATTTAATTCATTTTTTTCTGTCTCTCTATTCATTTCCCTTTGCTTTCTTCTCCCATTCATCTTTATCTAGTTTTCTCTCTCAATCTTTATGTCTTAACCCTTCTTTGTCCCTCTCTTTCTTTTCATTTTTATCTTTCTCTTTTTCTTTTCTCTCAATCTTCCCACCCTCTCTCATTTTATTTTATTCTCTTCTCGCATCCTTCCCCACACACATTTTCTCTGTTTTTCTTTCTTTATCTTTGTAACTTCCTCATTCTTTCTCTATATCTTTCCTTCTATATATTATCTTTCTTTCTTTCTTTCTTTCTTTCTTTCTTTCTTTCTTTCTTTCTCCTTTTTCTCCCTATATTTATTTCCATTTCTTCTCCTCTCTCTCTCTTTCTCTCTCTCTCTCTATCTCTATGATTTCTCTTTCCTTTTTCTCGCATTATTTTCTTCTTATTTTTCTCCTTCATTTATTCTTTATCCCCTTTCCTTCTATCTTTATTGCTCTTTCTTCTTCCCTATTTTTCTTTCTGCATTCCCCACTCTCTCTATCTCTCTCTCTCTCTTTCTCTCACTTTCTCGCGCTCTCTGTATCTAACTTTTAATAATTTTTTCCACTATTTAAAAAAAAAAAAAACACTAATTGAACGTAAAGAAATTAAACCAAAAGAGACTTTTTTTCTTCAACATACAAAAATAACTTCAAGCTAAAATGACATTCGATGACAACACGATGATATTTCCCGCCTTTTTTCAGGGGCGAAAGACACACGGCTTTTAGACCAGATGCCATATGGATTTTTTCCAATTTTCCTATAATTGTCATATTGTATCACAGACGACAAATTTCAATTTCTCAATAATATAAAAATTATTCTGTGTGGTTATTAGCAACACACGAGTAGTCGCCAAAAATCATTAATATTCATCAAAATCAATATTTTGTTGTAAAATAAGATGGAGTCTGATGAAAAGTAGCGTTCGAGATGCTTTTGACTCTAGACCAATTGCTAACATTACGAGTTTGGTCTTTCTCTAGTAAAACAAATACTCCGTCCCACATGATTAACCGGTTTTCCAAAATCGATCACATAACCCACTTTTTGACATAAACCGAACATAACCTTTTAAAATGAGGACAAACACTGTAACACTAGTGCGAATAAGTTGTGAAAGAATATAAATTCCTCCATTCTATTCTGTGTCACGTGACAGTTCAGACATCCGGCAGCAAGGACACTGATAGGGAATTTTGAGGAACATGCAACCAACTATTAATTTCTGTTGTTACCAGGTCCACCTTGACCCGGGTTGGTAGCACCTGTTAGAGTTCTAACTATGGGTAAATAGTTAATTCACAAACTAGTATTGAAATTATTTAGGGTCGCTAACTGGGTGCCCTGTGATTGGATGAAAAACAACCAATCACAGGCTACCTTTTTAGACTTTCACCAAACCCCCATTTCACAAACTCTCTTCCTCTTTTGCTGGTTGGGGACCCTCAGAGACAACACGTTCCCCATCTACACTCTCCGTCATCTAAACACCAGGACACGTGTGTGGATTTAGACAGCAACTGAAGTCCAGAAGTCAAGACTCTATTTTCTTCAAACCAGCCAAAACGAAACAGGAAATATAAAACTATTATAAGGACGCATCTTTCAGATAAGTTCCGCAAACCTGACGTTTTGCAATTGAAACTTTACGTCTCTTTTCCTACAAATACAAGTTTTTTCAAACATTTACAACTGTTTTTGTGTTCCTTTCTCCTTGCCGGCGTCACAATATTTTTGTTATCAAATATAATTGGGAAAATCCCAATACGAGAGTCAAAAACCTATGAAAGTATAAAAAATACATTTTATAGTAAAAATACCAGCAATACATTTTCATAGCAAATGAAAAAAAATAAAATATTACAAGCACTACATTTTTTGAAAAAAAAGTTACCAGCAATATAATTTTTCTTAGATAAAAAAAAAAATACTACACTATTTACATTATTCGGACTATTGTCCGCATCTTTGTTGACATATTTATCACAACGTTTCGCCCGTTTTACGCTCCGGCCTTCTTCAGGTGGTTGGAATGTCCTCAAGGACACATGGCACAGTGGATAAAGGTGTTAGTTAGATCAAGTGACAGGACCCAAAGAGTGTGAGTTCAATACCTGGTTAAGGCGGTGACGAACTTGGAGAGAGGAATTAACAGGAGATAACTGATAACTGACATCCATTAGACATGGCACGTGGAACTAGAACAGTCTACCCGAGCGAGCGAAATAAAGGGTTCAGTTCGACATTCCAACCACCTGAAGAAGACCGGAGTGTACAGCAGCCGAAACGTTGTGATAAATATGTCAACACAGATGAGGACAATAATCCTAATAATGTAAATAGTGTATATAATACCTCATTTTAGAAATATCGACAGATATTGAAAAAATACCAGCAATACATTTTTGTAAAAGAAATTATTAATGCTCCCAAAAACTTAAATTTCGGTAGTAAATGACCCATAAGTCGTTGATATGCCGCTAAAGTAGACTAGCAAACAAAAGTGACTCTTTAGGACGTTTGTGACTATGCTCTTCCTCAACTTCCTGTCTGTTGTAGATCTTAAAGATTTTGTCATTTTGTTATCTCTCGTAAACGTTGTTCCGCCATCCATTTACTCAAGCTTGTTCGGTAAATTATGCGTTATTTTCTTTTGTTCTGTTTGTATTCAATCTGTCCTGTATGTATCAAATTCTCCAAGTCTTCTTTCCTTACTAAATATCTTGGAACTTTCAATTGCCTCTACCTGATGTTAATCACAAACGTTCTTTTTGTTTCCATTTTCTCTACAACTTCTTCGTTGCACAGTCACCTTCTGTAGAAACACACATTTCTGTTGATTCAAGTTATCTGTGAGGAGTTTGTCAAGGATTCTTCCTCTTTTTAACAAGGTACTAGAGCCCCTAATTCGAAATTGGATAAGCATCTTACATCGCACGGTCTTCTTTCAAATAAACAATATGACTTTTACTTCTCTAGGTCAACTACTGATGAGTTAACGACTATTAAAGAAATAATCTATCAAGTTCTAGATAAAAATGGTGACGCTCGTACTGTTGCTTTTCCTATCTCGAAAGCATTTGACAGGGTTTGACACCCTGATATTCTTCACAAGACTTATAGATATGTAAGATAGATTCTGGAGAGAAAAGTTGACAGAGTAAACCAACTTTCTTAGTAGCTGACCTAGCAGTAGATTCAATATATCTTTCTACTTCATGTAAGCCGAGAACGTTATCCCATGAAGGCGCAACGTGTCTCTCTTTTGGAGGTTAGCATCAGCCATGCCAGTTTAATGTATTTCTAGATGAATTTTTGAACTGATTCAGCCTTTCTTGTTAAATCGCGAAATATCTTGGATGGAAACTTTTCTAGATGATTTTGCCTTTAGAAAATTCGTAATGTCTAGGTACCATTGTGAAGAACTCACCCGAAAAATTACCATGAAAGGCACAAGGACGCAATTTTACTGCGTTGGGAAAGAAACTGTAGTCACCAGATCAGGACCAAAATATTCCGGATTCTTTGAATTTTATCAAGAATTTCTAAATATATAGCAGGAGCACCAGACCGTATGTGCCAGCAATATTCTAAGTATGGACGAATGGTAGACTTATAGATATGTAAGATAGATTCTGGAGAGAAAAGTTGACAGAGTGAACCAACTTTCTTAGTAGCTGACCTAGCAATGGGTTCAATATATCTTTTTAATTCATGTAAGTCGAGAACGTTATCCCGTGAAGGCGCAACGTGTCTCTCTTTTGGAGGTTAGCATCAGCCATGCTGATGGATGATAGGAAACGGTGATTAGTAGAGAGTAGTTTTGTTTTGGCCGCGTTAAAATTAACAAGCTATCCTTTACCCCCACCTCCCACTAGCAGAAAAAAATCGCGAAATCCATCCAAGGTTCATAGACGAATGAAAATATGTCCATCTTATAGTGGTTGGAAAACAGTATCTTTAGCTGTGGAATTGGTTAGTAAAAGTATTAAATATAAATAAATCATTCTGGTCCCTTGTTGGTCGAATTATACGAAAGTCGAACTACAGGAATTCTCAGAAAGTCGAAGACGTGATTGTGGAACTCTAATAATTCTACCTTTTCAAGGATGATATTTAATATCATCATCATCATCTTCATTATCAGTTCCCATGACGGCGTATGATCGTAGCGACTCTGTGCAGCTGAGAAACTGACTAGTTCCCGCCAGATATCTAGATTGCAAGCCAGAGAGGAATTCATTCATTCTTAGCGTCTCTGCAGCATCTTTGTTACCGAGACGCTAAGAGACGCTGCAGAGACCGGGCGGTGCCCATCTATCAGCAGGTCAATCTATTGCCCATGTCCTACGAATTAGTCATGAACACGGGGACGCTGATTCCAACGGGATAGCTCCCGGCCTTTGAGTTTCAGTCTAGAAAGCCCTCCGTTCAGTGATGTTCGTATTATCACCACACTGGATATACCACCGGTAATCCAGACTCGATTTAGTCTGTAGACGATCAAAATTCAATGTAATTATCGTCTCGCGTTTGAACTCCCTTCTGATAAGAGACCCGTTTCAATTATACATGGAGTTTTCTCAAACTGTTCACCAAGGTACTAAGCAGTTACATTTTTTAATTTTCTCTTTGTTGCTGCTGAATGTCGGAGAAAATGGATTGTCAAAAATTGTTATTATTATTATTATTTGTTATAGAGTAGTTTCACAGTGGTGGCTTGTATTTCACTAAGTCGGTCATAAAAAAGGTTCGACGTACAAAACGTTAGGAACTTGTTATAATAGTTAATGATGCAACAATCTAGTTGTAGTGTTTGATACTTTAATGTCCGACATCGACTGACTGACCAACACTCTGAGCTCCTTCGCGACTGCTACTACTACTATTTATAGGTGGGAGAGTCTATAGAATAGTTGTGTTCCAGTATAACATTATTATTATTATTATTTGTTGTTGTTGTTAAAACAGTTAATTCTTAGTAATTTATATTTAATTTAATATGCTAAATTCAATTTAATAATCCAGATTTAATTTAATATGCTAAATTCAATTTAATAATCCAGATTTAATTTAATATGCTAAAACACATACATACCGCTGAATATATACATATTGGTATTTTTGTACGAACCAAATGGTACAATAGAGCTATTTATTTTTTTCATTTTTCTTTAGAAAATGAACATTGCATCTGATGTATTAGAGGGAGCATGACGTGCAATATATTGAGACCAAAATTTAGATGCATAGCTCTTACCAATTTTTGAGGATTTAGTTTTAGAAATCGTCTGAAAAATTGTAAAGGAAGACTAAATTCCAATGCTCCAATTTTGAACTTAAACTTAATCCTTAAACTCGTTTCCTCAAAAAATCGTACCGATTTTGAAAAAAAAAAATTCTATATCATTATTTATTATTACAACGTCCAAAACTAAGTGCAATACCACGTTTCCAAATTTGACTAATGGTACACCGCAGTTTCTTCATTCCGATCTAAATACGGAATTAAGCAGAAGAGAAAATAATTTCGAAATTAGCATTTGAAAGGAAAATCAAGTTCTTATTCCATAGATGTGTCATTCAGGTGAATTTGGCGCTACATAATCTTTCATGCAAAACACGTTCTCGGTCCAGATTTAACCAAACTGAGAGAAAACTAATTTATTGACAACTATCATACCAGTCTTTTTCTCACAGGGAAGAATTCTCTCTTTACGTGGTGGATTATCTTTATTTATTGAGGTTTTTTTTATTTCTATTACATTTTCTTTCATGTCAAGCCTTCCAAAAGTAATTACGAAGGACCTTATCATTATTCTACAAGCCTTGTGTCGTTTCAGCAGTTGTCACTGCTTTATTTTATTTTTTATTTTATGCTAAGCCCGTGATTATAGTTTTTCAAATTTTTTTGCGATGTAATTGGGATTTTTCAAGTTTTTTTTCCGTATTTTTCGTGCTTTTTTTTTACGTATCTCTCGCACTTTTCGCTTGTAGAAATCTCTCCTGGCATCATGTTTTCCTGTCAACTACAATCGTCAAAAATTTAAATGCAAAATCGTTCTTCTTCTCTCTCTCCTTGAATCCAGTTCTTTTTTGTGTTTTCTCCTCAGTAACGTCCTCCCAGTTTCCTTCCCTCGGAGTAAAACCCTCTCCTCTTAGCAGCCTTATCGTCCTCTTTAGCAAGAAATGATTTTAAAAAGAAAGAGAAAAACGAGAAACGTTGAAATTGGGAAGCAGTTGATGCTTTTTGCCTATTCAGAAATGTTAAATCTTTAAGAATTTACATGCAGCTAATCCTTTTTCCTCGAAGTGACATTGCTCAATAAAATAAAAAAGTTACCAATTACCATTTCATTTATTTTAAATATTTGTAATTTATTTGAACTTTTTATGATAGAAAAGAATATATATATATTTGGAAATTAACAGGACTGGCTGTGATGTGTGAGCTACGGACGAAAGAGGGATAAGGGGCTTGATATTTTAGGAATTGATAACCGTAATCTTAGCTTTCTGCAACATTTTTTCACATGCTTTTCTTTACAACGCTTTTTCTAGTCCTTCAGCTATGAGCACTGGGGAATGAACGATGGACGCCAAGCAAGGAATTAGCCTGAAATGTTTGATCCGGGTGAGAAAAACTCTGTCAAACACACTTGAAATGCTTCAGCAAGTAAAAGGTGATCCAACAACTTGGACCGATTTTAAACTTAATTCAATTTAAAAACAGTTATTGGAACGCCCTTTAGATGGAGATAACACCATGTCGCGGACACTTGTTTTTGAGTGGCGCAAGAGGTTTGAAGAGAGGCGCAAGGCGGTGGAAGATGACTCCAGGAGCGGCAGGATTTCAACAAGCAGGAATGAGCTCGAACGGGTAAGGCAGGTGGTGCGTGACGATTGTCGGTTGACCGTTCGAATGATATCAAGTCAGCTGGACATTTTTTTTAAGCATTTCGACCGAAGCAAGGCTGGAAGCCACTAGCACGCAAGGGGTTACAGAGGATTTGGAACGAGGGTAGATAGAAGTGGTACAGGAAAAGATGAGAATGATAGTGGATAAATCAAAGCAACTGAAGATGTCGATTGACATTACATTTAAATAGTTGGAAATTATAGCTATCAGGGAAGCAGGAAAAGGGAAAGGAGTTCCACAGGCGAGAGGTGAGTGACATGAAGCTATTGGAGTAAAAGAGACGACTACATTTAACAGTTTCAACAGTGAAAGGGTGAGAGTGGGATGCCAGTCTCGTAGGACGTTTGAATCTATGAAATCTGGGAACCAGCGAAAGCAGCTCATTAGAGCAATTACCATGAAAGTATTTGTAAAAAAGACAGAGAGAGGCGACGGCGCGTCTGTGAGAAAGTGACTGCAGACGAGATGCCAGATCAGGGCCAATTGTATTGCATATCCGTCTCTGGATCTTATCAAGAACCTCGAGGCAAACAGAAGAGGCTCCAGACCATATATGGCAGCAATACTCCATGCAAGGGTGAATGGTTGATTTGTAGATTTGAAAGATTGATTCCGGGGAAAAAAATTTCTTGGCGCGGCACAGGGAGCCAACTTTCCTTGCGGTGGACGAAGCAATTACTTAATGTATTTGTTCCATCTTAGACAATGTGAGACCGAAAAACCGCAGAGAGGTGATCTCGGGAGGCTGAGCGTCAGACATTCTAATGGGGAGTAGGGAAGGATCTCTGTGGAAAAAAAGGACAGTGTTTCGAAGATTTTCAGTGAAGATTTGGGCATGCGGAAAGTTTGAGCAAAAATGGTCCAATGCTGCTGAAGGACGGTCAGAAGGAGTGCCGCATGCAGACATGTCAGGACATCTTCGAGCGTCTTCAAACTAAACCAGACTTGCTTCGTCCACTATGATTATTGAGTACGACGCGGAAACCAATTGTCAGAGCTATCAGTGGAAATCTCCAATGTGGCATACGCCGAAGCCGAAGAAAGCAAGACATTCAAAATTTAAAGTCACAGTCATGCTGATCCAGTTCCTCTTGCCATAGCGCCAAATTATCAATTAAAAAGGGCGCCAAATTATCAATTAAAATGGTATAACAAAGATTTCTGCGGCGTTTGCATTGCTCAGTGCCCGAGAGGTGACGAGGGTTCGACAGGATCAATTGTGGCTGTTTCCTCACGACAATGCACATGCTCACAACGGTCTGATCATCCGGGTGTTTCTGGTCGAGAAGAACACCGGCGTACTGGAAAAACCTCTTTATTCACACTGATCTTGATCCCTGTGACTTTTTCTTTTACCCAACCTCAAAGGCACCAGTAGAGGCCATCAAAGGGGTCATAATGATGTAGCTGAGCGGGTATCCAAGAATAATCTGTCCAATAGTGTATAGAAGCGTGGCAGAGAAGGATGCAAAAGACAGACGACGTATATATATATATATATATATATATATATATATATATAAGCACATTTCATTGAATATGACAGACAAGGTACTTTTATTTAGTTTTTTTTATACAATTTCTCATGAGATCTAATAATTTTTTTCTTTTCTGTTGATAAATTATATAAAAACTGTCCGAATGTTCTTTTCATCCGAGCGCTTTCGGCTATGCATTTAGCCATTTTCAAGGATTAAATTTCCGTGTCGAAATGTAAAATATTTTAAAATAAAAATATTATTAAAATATTATGCTTTATGAATTACTTCGGAATGTGCTGTTCAAACTCTCTGCCTCCGGACAGAGAGGAACCCAGACGAGGCTGTCTCGAAGGGCGGAATCTCGTCTGGGGTTGTAGACAGCTACCCTACACGTGGTGATAAACGAAATGTATATATGGGAATTAGCGTGGTGTCTGTGATCACCCACCGAATTACTTCGGAATGTGCTGTTCAAACTTTCTCCCTCCGGGCAGAGAGGAACCCAGACGAGGCTGTACCGAAGGGCGGAATCTCGTCTGGGGTAGTAGACAGCTACCCGACACTGTTTTTACGGGATCTTCGGGAAATTTTTGACCGAGCCTTTTAACTTTAAACTTGGCCCTGTGCCGCCTCTGACCGCGTAAGGCGGTAGGTGAATATTTAACTATACGGATTATTTCGGAAGTATGCTTGTCAGACTGTCTCCGGGCAGAGAGGAACCCAGACGAGGTTGAGCCGAAGGGCAGATTCTCAACTCGAGTAGTAGACAGCTACTCGATCCCGTTTTCACGGAGTATACAGGGGATTTTTGACCGAGCCTACGGGATCGGATACTCCAGAATAAACTTGGCATGTACCGCATCCGACCGCGTCGGGCTGTAGATGAATATATCACTATATAAATTACTTCTGAAGTGTGCTTGTCAAACTCTCAGCCTCGGGGCAGAGAGGACTCCAGACGACGCTCTGCCGAAGGACAGAGTCTCGTCTGGGATGGTAGACAGCTATCTGACCCCGTTTTTTAAGAGGTCTACGGGCTATTTTTGACCGAGTCTATGGGATAGGTTACTACAAAATAAAATTGGCCTTGTGCCACATCCGACCGCGTAGAGCGGTATGTGAATATCTCACTATACGGATTACTATTCGGATCACTATTCTGGTTACTATTCGAGCGAGTATTATCAAGCAAGAACTATTAGTGCGAGTGATATTCGAAAGCGTCTGGCACCAGTATTATTAAACGGCGTTACTATAGTATCTGCGATTAAAAAGTCTCTACTATATCGAACATTACAAAAGTGAAAACGAGTATTCGTTGGCATTACAAAAATGGCAACGAGTGTTCGTTGACATCACAATATTAACAAAGTGCGAATCGCAAATCGGAAATCCTAAAATGAAATATCTGGGAAGTATGACACTGAAATCCGAAGACGTATTCGGATAGCCAAAGATTCATTCCAAAAGATAAGCGGGATATTAAGAAATAGAAAAACTAAGCTAGAGACAAGGAAAAGAGTAATGAATTGTTACGTGATATCTGTCCTCTTGTATGAAGAAGAGGCTTGTAGCCACAGAAATGAGATTATACAGAAAGATGCTTAAGATACAATAAACCGATTAAGCAAGCAACGACGGGGTTTTTAGAGAAAGTGGAATCAAAAAGGAAACTTTTATATACATCAAGAAGTGACAGTTTATATTTCTAGGGTATATAATGAGGAAAGACGGCTTGGAAAATCTGATACTCTCTGGACAGATGTAAGGCAATAGTGACAGAGGAAAACGACGTCTGACATACTGAGTAGGCTTGAGTAAATAGATGACGGAACAGGTTTTAGGAGAGTTAGCAAAAAGAGAAAGTTTATTAAGAGCTAAAAAGGACAGGAAGTTGTGGAGAGACATGATCGAAAATGTTCTGAGGGGACATAGCACACTGAAAGAAAAGTCGGGATTTTAGGTTAATGTTTTGTTGTAGGCATTCAGTCAGTTATGTGTCATGCGTGATACACACTTCGGCGATCATGTATCTTTCAATACATGACTGACGAGGCAGATTTTTCCCGCAGTAGGTGGCCATTTCTTTCTGCGGTAGACCAGTTGTCATCCAAGGCTATAGACTCCGGTCTCTCCTGCTATTTGCACATAACTGAGGGGAGAAGAAGAGGATTCATACCTGAATTCATCCCAGAGGCATTAACACGTAAGTTATGTAAGTATGGATTCGACTGGAATTCGAACTCGACTCTCCGATTTCTCAATCCGAGTCGCTATCCATTACTCCTTGTAGGTATTAATGGATTGATTTGAAGAGAGACCAAATTTTTGGATAGTTTTTTGTACTGGTTGAGTTTTGTTGTCCTTAATCTAACGGTATTTATAAGCAGTGTGGTGGATTTAGGCTTAAGCTGTTTTTATATACCTCTCTGCTGATAAAGGTGACAAGTTAATCTTCACGAGAGAAATGCTGTAGCGTGACCAGTAGCTGTTGATTTATTTTATTATCGTCAGACACTCGTTCTCAAGAGGCAAGATAATTGGTTTGCGTCTTCTGTAGTGTTTCCTTCTATACGGCATAAAAACATGAGCTAACTTATATTTATAAATTCTAATGCTCGTTACGAAGATGTCTCTAATATTAACAAACATAATCAAATCGAATTTAGTAACACAATAACTAAATTATTCTGTAATCTATATGAAAACAGTTTCATTGAATCGCATATAACAAACCAATACATCAAGACCTAACACAAAATCCGAATGATACTTATTGGTAATTCAAAACTAGTATTCCTATTAAGTTATTGTTGTAGCATACCTACGGATGTTAATGGGTATGTCTCCATTCGCATAAATACAGTAGTAAATACTGTATGTTGGTCTGTAGTTGAGATTCGTCTCCAGCTGTGGCAGTCAAACTCTGGGCAGAGAGGTTCCCCAGACGAGTCTATGTCGGAGGGCAGAGTCTCGTCTCGGAAAACAGATACACGACACCGTTTTATACGGGGTCTACAAAGAATTGTTGGCCGGGCCTATTGGATCAGGAACTCCACATTAAATTCGGTCTTGTGCCACATCTGACCGCGTGGGGCGGTTAGTAAATATGTTGCAGTAGGAGATTCGTTACCGGTTGTGTTGGTCAAACTCTCTGCCTCCGGGCAGAGAGGATCCACAGACGAGGCTACATCAAAGGGCAGAACCTAGTCTCAGGAAACAGCTACACGACACCGTTTTACACGGAGTCTACGGTGAATTTTTGGACGAGCCTACGGGCTCGGATACCCCACATTAAATTCGGTCTTGTATCACATCTGACAGCGTAGATAGGGAGTAGATATCCTTCAGTTGGAGATTCGTCTTCAGCTATCCCCAGACGAGACCAGGTCGGAGGTCATAGTCTCGTCTAGGGAAACACCTACTCGACCCCGTTTTAGACTACTTTTAATTTCAAACCGTGGAAAAAGCAACGGGAGAAAGACTCCACTATATTTCCATAGATGTCACATATATTGTTGTAACCTAGAAA